TGGGGAGGAAGACCAGGAAACTGGAAAGAGTAAGGCCTGCTGACTGCTGCCTGCTATGTTAGCTGCTGGCAGCTCCCCTACACTCCTGTGACCACCTCCCTACAAGACCCCTCCTGCCATCACTTACCTCTGGCCTAGATTTATTGCTATCCTGGGCCTCTCATAGGTGTCATTTTGGCTGCAGACTCTACCTCACCAGTAGGTCTGCTGAGCAAAGAGCTACTGGCCTCTGTCTGGTCAGTGGCTCTCAAAGGACAGGACCTCCTGTTCTAAAGTCCTGATCCTGTAAAAGACCTGCTGGGGATTCCTCAACAGCTTGATTGGCACCTAAATACTGTTACACTTCCTAGAGGAGGGAGCATTAGTCTTGCTGGCTTTCTCAGCTTGTGGCCAAGATCCCAATTGACTCCATTAAAATTTCCCTTTTGATAAGACCATCAAGGGAAATGGAGCAATGTCTAATAAATGGAGTTGAAGTACAGATCAACTATGATCTAATTGTGAATGGTGAAATAGGGTTAAAGAGATGAATGACCTACTCCTGTTCTAATGTTCCCAAGACTCTGTTATTCCCTGTCCTCATGTTCCAGTGAGAGAAAATAAACAGAGGAATGCTACTAAAGACGGTCAGTCCCTGTATAAACAACACAAGCAAAAGTCCATCTGATGACTTTACTGCACAATTGGAATCAGGAACACAACATATTGTATTATGGACATGGATCTTCAACTCATCAATATTTCTGAATATAAGTTATTTGAACATTCCAGGTGTTACCCTGGATTAAACTACAGGCCCTTGGTGCAATTTAATGACCTACCTTGTACACTTTGCCATCCCCAGCATCTGTTGTTTTATACATGCATAAGTATCCATTTTAAGAGGATTTTTAAATAGCTTATGGCACATTTTAGTAAATTAGACTCATTTACATGACTGAGAATTAATAGCTGTGGTCACCAGTATCAAATAATCACAAAAGCAGAGTATTTGCAGAATAATAAAACAAGCTATTCATAAAATGAGATTTTGGGGTTCTTTTCCTCAGTGAGTTAATTATGCAGGAAATATTATTCTCACATCTTTAATCATTACACAGCCTTATTCTGTTATGTAATAAATACATTGCATTTAAAGAATGACGGTAAAAGCTTTCAAGAACTACAAATGAATGCAGCTTTATAAAAGTTACTTGTTTCCTGCAAAGCTAAATCCTGTAGAGGCCTCCCTATGCAATACAACACATCAAGAACATTCAACCTATATTTAGGGTGAGTTTTTGTTTTGCTTTAATGAACATTGGACATTAAAAGTCTATATAAAGGGCAGGTAGATTGTTGCAGTCAAACTAGCAATTTTACAGTTGCTTTCCTGTGTGTTTTCTTCCCTTGAAAACATTTCTTTTTTATTTCCTTTTTGCTACATTTTGTTGAATATAGTAGATTTCAAAAGAGCAATATTGTTGGACCACACAGATTCAAATTTCTCTGAGAAGCTTTTTCTGTTATAATTCAGTGGTGATTAAATTGGCCAGACTGAGGTCAGGTTACTGTCTTTAGGAGTCATGTCTTAATGTTACAGCTTACTTTATACTATCAAACAGAAAATTAATCTTCAGTATAATCTGTTTCATTACATCACCCTTGCACTAAGAAAAGCAAACCAAACACTTGGGATTTACTTCTAGAAGGATAGGGTTGAAAAGTAGAGAAGTTGTGCTAAACATATGATGTGCCTTGATTAAACAACAGTGATGTACTGTGAACCATTCTGGTATTATTAAAAAGAATGAAGGGGCACTGGACAGGGAGAAAAAAAATTACAACTGCAAAGATTTATTTAATGCACATCCTAACACTGAAAATGTTTAAAGGTGGTTTGTGCAAATTGATTTTTTAAAAACTAGATCATCCATGCACAACCAGGTGAACAGACTTTAGAAGAGGTAGTAGGAACTGCAGATGCTGGAGAATCTGAGATAACAAGGTGTAGAGCTGGATGAACACAGCAGGCCAAGCAGCATCATAGGAGCAGGAAGGCTGACATTTCGGGCCTTCATCAGAACAGACTTTAGAATTTCACTTTCAGCAGGCTCCGTCTGCTTCTGACAAGATGATAGTTCTTGGTACAAATATCTGTTGTATAGCTTACTGATAATTTACTAAACCATATATATCAGGTTGATTTCAGTTTAATCTTCAATCTTTGCTGCTATTTGATTTTAGCTGGGAAGGGGTGGGGCTTAGTTCGTCTGGATACTGAGAAATATAGTTAACTATAGTTACCGCTCAGGATCATAGATCTCTGATGACATGTGCGAACATATATAAGCTCAAGTAGGATGTTGGACAGGTTCCAAATCTGTTAGAAATTCAGATTTGACATCGATACCTCCTTGGGTTCAGTGACCTCAGTTGCCTGCGTATCTTACTCTTCTAGAAATTGACTCATTCAATCCCACATATACTTGTACCATAATGTAACCTGGGCTATAATTGGTTATCAATTTCGGAGCCAAAGCGTCTGTCTTCAGTCTTTGGGGCGGCGTGGTGGCTCAGTGGTTAGCACTGCTGCCTCACAGCGCCAGGAACCCAGGTTCGATTCCACCCTTGGGCGACTGTCTATGTGGAGTTTGCACATTCTCCCCGTGTCTGCATAGGTTTCCTCCAGGTGCTCTGGTTTCCACCCGCAGTCCGAAGATGTGCAGGCTAGGTGGATTAGCTGTAGTGTTCAGGAATGTGAAGATTAGGTGTGTTATAGGGTGATGGGTCTGGGTGGGATGCTCTGGGGGTCGGTGTGGACTTGTTGGGTCGAAAGGCCTGTTTCCACACTATAGGGATTCTATGATGGAAGCCTAATAGCAGAACTGCAAGCTTATACCTATCAAGATAGAGTGAATAGGCTTGGTCTCCTTTCTCTCGAATAGAGAAAGGTAAAGTGTGATCAAATTGGGCTGTTTAAAATTATGAAAGGTTTGATAGAAAAAACTTTGGAGTGAAGCATACACAGTATTTTTTGGATCAGACAGCTGTTTCTGTATTGTTCATTTTACGTGTAATTGAAGAACAGAGTTGTGTTTTAATATTTACAAATTGGCCCATATATGTAGCAAATTCTGGTACATAAGTTTAATCTTACCATAATTAATCATTTTATTTCCCAATCAACAGTATGGCATTCCATGTGTGATGAATGCATTTGCTGGCGGAGAGTTACAGAACACCATGTGATTTCCTAATGTTAGTACTGACATATTGTCAATAAAGCTTTGTGATCCACCTGGGAGTTTGGTACCCACAAACTTGTTTGCATTCAGTTCTTTGTTTGTTAGGGAACCCTAGGTTTGGCTTCCAGTGTCAGGCTGTGTCTTCTCTAGGTTGTGGAGCTCTGAAAGTAAGTAGTGAATCTTGTTGTGGTTCTATGTAACTCTAAGCCATTTATGATATTTTAAATGACTATTTTACTGGAAGCGTAATTTTTGTTTTCATTAAGAAACTGCCAGATGGTCTCCCTCAGTGGCTCAGTGAGTTTATTCAATGAATAGCTAAACCACATAAACCAGGGAAGTCCAAGGTCAGGAGGTACAGTGATGGGGAAACTACAGTTGCTTATAAAGTTTTCTCTGCGGAGAATTTCCTACAAACATTGCTGTCTTGTGGATTGCTTATCCTAAAATTTACAAAGACATGCAAGAGCAAGTATTATCTGACAGGAAACCTGGCATCCTCTTGTCATGAAATTTTTATTTCTATTACTATTTAAATAAACATCAATAAATTCAGCACCTCTTTGTTCTTGTCTAACTTGTAACTTATAGTGGAATTAACACCATAATAAAGGAATTCAGGTTAAAACCAGCACAATATCATTGATGAAGATGTCAAAAGTGCAGTCATTTGACACTTCTCGAAACTTCAAGGAGCAGGTCCATTGTCGTGTTATATATGCATTTCATCAATGTTTGGCAGCTGTGGTTCAAAGGTCTGGATTGCATCTGAACAGTAGGATTCTAAAGAGAGAGTATGTTCTTAGTCTGTCTGCAGCATCTCATCTCAAAAGATTTACCAGCATGATGCAAAACAATGAAGTACATCCACAGAGACAATGGCCCATCTGAAATGTAGAGAGTAGGTCAGAGATTTCTCAAAATTTACACTACCTCGTGATGGATCCCCATTGCTAGATTCCCCCTACTGCCCTCTGGTACAGTATCAGATGGTTCATTTAAGGCTTATATTTGCTCCCTTCCTCGGTCATTGCTTCTTCAGTCAGTCCACCTAAATGCATCTGGGAGTAATGACCTTCAGCCCTTCTGGCAGTCTTTCACAGATTCTAATGAAAACCACAGGCCAAAAATTGTGAAATGCTTGAATAGCTGGAAGCAAACTATCTACACCAAAATTACAACTTGGTAGCTTGTTTAGAGAATACAATTAATGATTAACTCTCTGCATCCCTGTATACTTGAAATCAATTATTGTCTTAGTAAGTGTAAGGAAATTGACATCACGCATGAATAAAATGAATGTGGCATGACATAAAACCTGAGGCTGAAACAAAATTCGGCAATTTAACACGTATGCAGTGTAATCACACTGCAGGTTATTGTAGCAGTTCAGTATTCGTGCAGACAAATGAATTGCAAGAAGTTTACTTCAAAGTGGTTTAACTTAAGAGTGGAATGCCAGTTGTTTTCTGCCATCATGTTACTACTAACAATTTCGAACCATGTTTACCAAAAGGTTTATTCCTTGGATTGTAGTTTCTGCGCAGAGACACTCCAATAAATTTCAGCTGCTAAACGTCATGAAATTGACACAATTTATATTAGCCCAGTATTTAAAATAGTCAGGTTTGTAAGAAATCTCCATTGGTAAAGAGAGAATGCAGTGGGTTTGTGGCTAGGAACTAAGTACTTCTGGTTGTGTACTTCTGGTTTCAGAACTTAAAAAAGATTTATTTTGTTTTTCTGCATTGTGGATTTCCCTGTGCTGTACAAGAAGGACCTAGAGGACAGGAGCAGATTATAATCTGAGGAGGCCCAGATGTGGAGAGCTGTAGTAACTGGAGCCCCTCCACTTCAGGTTAGTCACCCAGTTTCCTTTGCATTATTTATTTTTAATTGAGCCTTTAGCCTTCTTGAAGAGCAGACAGGACAGATGGCTCTTTACCAAGATATAACAATTTAAATTGCAATTTAAGCAGCAGATTTTGCACAGGTTTTAGTAATGCTGCTGTTGAGCTAGTATGAAACTTGCACCATTTGCTAGAATGGAAGCTGATTAACTTTATTTGTGCACTTCATTCATTGATGCAAACTTGAGTGTACTTGAGATGGATGTATAATGTAACTGTAATGTAATATAATGTAATGGGTGGCATGGTGGCTCACTGGTTAGCACTGCTGCCTCTCAGCACCAGGGACCTGGGTACAATTTCAGCCAAGGGGTGTGTGAAGTTTGCATGTTCTCCCCGTGTCTGCATGGGTTTCTGCCAGTTGCTCCAGTTTCCGCCCAGAGTCCAAAGATGCGCAGATTGAGTGGATTGGCCATACTAAATTACCCTGTAGTGTGTAGAGATATGCGGGCTAGCGGAATAGCTAAGTTAAATGTGGGGTCACGGGGATAGGGTGGGGTGGTGTGATTCTGGGTGGGAAGCTCTTCAGAGGGTCACTACAGACTCGATGGGCTGAATTACCTCAATATGCTTGGTAAGGATTCTATAACTTTCCTGTAAGGTCAGTTGGAAAGGTAAAGTTTTGCTACAGAGTTTTGTTTAGTCTTTCATCAGAGATGGGTGTTGCTGGCAAGGCCAGCATTTGTTGCCCATCCTCAATTTAAACTGAGTAGTTGCTAAATCTTTTCAGAGATCAAATAAAGTGATACATATTGCTGTGGGCCTGGAGTCACATGTCGGTTTCCTTCCCGAATGGACATTAGTGTACCACGGAAGATTTTACAAGAAATGCTGTTAGTTCCATGGTCACCATTACTGAGACTACCCTTTCATTTCAGATTTAATTAAGTGAATTTAAATTCCTCCATGATGGGATTTGAACTCATGGCTAGATTACCAGTCTAGTGACATTTTCACTATGCTATCATCTTCTCCCACTTCTAGAACTAGAGATTCATTTTTCAGTGGCTCTGTCAGATGTAGCACTAATTTCTAGGTCCTACGTTTAATCCCTGTTTTATGCTGTGTTAGCTGTTTTAACTGTGTCAGTAACATTGGATGCCATAAGTGGTTCTTTGCTCAAACGTTAGGAAAGTTAATTGATGTGTTCTCCTGATTAATATTCAGTAATCCACCCATGCTAGACAATTAAATTGTGTGCGTGTTAGCTGGGGATAGGAGCAGGTTTGCCTGTGATGTCTTGCGAAGAGCTAGCCAACATTCAATATCTAGACTCCAATATGGGGAATATCTACAAGGCTGAGGTGACTGGACACTTGGGGTGATAAAGTCAAGCAAGAGTCCAAATTTTAAGAATGGAAGGAAGAGAAAGAAAATTGGCTAATTTAAACAGCAAAGCAAAACACTGTGGATGTTGGAAACCTGAAATAAGATGGGAAAATGCTGGAAATGCTCGATAGATCTGGCAGCATCTGTGTAGAGAGAAATGGAGTCAACATTTCAGTTCAATAACTTTTAATCAGAACCGGTTATAAATGTTTGATCCAGAAGAGTGTAAATAATACAACTGTTGGTCATCCCCTGGCTCAGCATTTCTAACTAATCACTAATTCTTTGCAGATAACATGATGTCTTACTATAATGATGAGCCCCGATACACTATTGAACAAATTGATCTTCTTCAGCGCCTCCGTCGATCAGGAATGACTAAACACGAAATAATTCATGCACTTGAGACAATGGAACGGCTTGACCAGGAACAAAATGAAAAATTTGTTAGGCGGCCCAACTACAGCAGTAACTATGGCAACAACGTTGCGGCATCCTCTTCCACGGCTTCTGCTGCTACACAGACTCAAAGTATAGCGCAATCACCGTCACCTAGTAACAGCTACGACACATCGCCTCCACCCTACAATGCAAGCCACGCAGGGCGAGAAAGCACTGCAAATGAGAGACTTGTTGCCAGTGGAACACTCTCTCCACGGTACCAGAACAGTGGGAGTCAGAGATCATATAGTTTTGACACAGGAGATGATGATGCAGATTTGGAGGAGAAAGTGGAAGAGTACATGAGGTAATGTGGAAAGTCCATATAGTTATGTAAGTATTCAGTATAGTTACAGGATTTTGTTCTTTCTGGCTGTTAAATAACTCAGATTAAATTGCATTCATCCATCGTAGCTTGAGTTTTGTCATTTTGTTTAGTGGGCATATTTAGCGGGGAGGCAGTTCATTCAGGCGTTACTTTTTTTGGGACAGGAAAGAAATAAAGTCACATCTGAACAGCATCTCTTGTTGGCCAAATGGTATTGTTGGTGCCAGTATATTAAATGGAATTCATAAACAAGACCAGAATAATCTCCGGATGCAGGGAACCAGATCTGGTTGAATGGTCTGAACAGGTTCAAGGTGCGGGGGGGAATGTTTAAGAGATGTGCAAGGCACGCTTTTCACACAAAGGGTGGTGAGTGCCTGGCACGCGCTGCCAGAGTAGGTATTTGGAAGCAGACACAACAGCATTCAAGAAGCACATGGATGAATACATGAATAGGAAGGGAATAGAGGGATATGGATCCTGTAAGTGAAGATAGTTTTAATATGGAAGGGCAAAATGTGTTGGTGCAAACTAGGAGGGCCAAAGGGCCTGTTCCTGTGCTGTTTTTTATATGGGCAGGTGGCATGTGGAATGAAAAGAAATAAGCAAACTTAAAAAAAATTGATGATAATATTCTTTCTTTTGCAGACGGGACAGCAATGCAGTAAAAGAGGAAATCAAAGTATTTTTAGCCAATCGGAGGATTTCTCAAGCTGTAGTGGGGCAAGTCACAGGTAAGATATAAAGAGTGAAAACTGCCTGCGAGCTCAGTTTTTCTTTGACGTATTGTATTATCTGTGCTTCACACTGTCCCTGTGATTGGGCATAAAGCTAAATTACAAGAAAATAATTGCCTGTATTGGGTTTAAGATAAGTTGTTGTTAATTTCTATCAGAACCACCTTTCGTGGATTTTCTTGTTCATTGGCAAGTTTCTAAACAGGGTAACAACATTAGCACAGCTTCATGTAACCATGCCCTTGCGTCCTCAAACAGTGAAAGGGTCTATATGGTGTTGTGCAAGGTGGTCTATATCAATTTTTCCCAATTGATGCAAACCACCTGATGAAGGTGCCTCCAGGAACTAGAAAATTTAGCTCAAATACTGTCAGTGGCATTTTTATACATTTTTATTTCTTATCAGATCTCCTGTAGTTTGTATTTTGGCAGGTATTTGTAAATTCCTGGCTTTAGGTCAAAGAAAGAAATATAAAATAAACCTTTCATTTTTGAAAAAAGAGATGTTTTAGAAGTGAGTGCTGAGGATGTTTGATGGGTAACAAAATAGATGGAAGATATATTTATATATATTAATGGATCTCATTTTATGTTCTTGATAAACTGGAGCATGCAGTCTATCTTCACTTCTTTCCTCTATCTTTTTGTTTGTTCCTTTCTGGTAGATGATGCTATGCTGAGATGAGACAAGGGCTGCTCAGGATATCAAGTTACTCTTTCCCATGATGAATGCAAGGAAAATGCAGCCTGCAGTCCTTGCTGCCCTATTTCCATTCATACCCTGTCTCTTTTGCTCCCTCCCTTCACTCTGATTGCTTCCTTTCTTATTTTGCTTTAACATTATCCACGTTCCTTCGTACCACCTCCACACATGTCATCACTTCTGTCTCTGATCTATTTATAGTGCTGTTTAGAAAATAAATTATTGGTTTTCCAGCTCATTGCATTGTATCTTTAAATGATAGTGACTTAAATTCTGGGATTTAAGACATTCTGTGAAAAGAGGCAACCCAAATAGTATGGCAACCAGGTTTGAGCAGTAAGTTTATAACATTGAGGGAAATTAGACAATTATGTTTATGCATTAATTACACTGGTAAGACTGGTTCAAACGCTGAAAATGTTTCAAATTTCCAAAGGCTAAAACTTTCTCTATTTTCTATCCATCTACCTCCCCTTTCTCTTCCTTCCCGGTAGCCATGTTATGCTATTGATTCATCCCCATTCCTCTCACTCCATTTCCTTGTTCATTAAACAGTATCGTTTGTTCTACCCTTGCACCCAGACCTGAATCCATTCCTATTGAAATGCCGTGCCATTCAAGCCTCACTTGTGCTCTTGGTATCTATTTATGATCACTGTGTTTAATGAATCGGATTTACAACAATTGAGAGGGATGATAGGATGGAAGTGTTTTTTTTAATTACAGATGCCTGTCATTGAACTCTTGGATGAAGTGGTTGATGGGTTGACACTTGAGATTTTAGCCATATGTCAAAAAGGGGAAGCACTTGCAGAAATGTAAATGGCCCTACCTGGGCATACAGTCTTAAAGTGAAATTAATCTTTCAGTACAGCTAGTCTTTATGAAGTAGGTTGTTGATGCATTGAATGTTTTCCCTTAGGATTTATGAATGGAGACTATTGCACCTTTTTTGGGAAACTGAATACATACAGAGCTGTTGGGGGGGTCGGTGGGGGGGGAGGTGGGGAAGAGGGAGGGTGTGGAGATATTCATGGAATACCGTGAATATTTTGTATTGCTGTGGCAAAAAAATTTGGCACAGGCACAATAGGGTTTATGGCATGTTTCTGATGTGTAAGCTTTGGTAGCTTTATCGGGGTGTGACTTTGGAGGTTTTGGGACTTTGGAGGAATGTCTTATGTATGTTTTACGAGGAAAAAAATTGAAATATTAACCTGGGTGGTATCATTTCTTTATCACAAAATTTTGAATAACTTCTGTGCTTTGTTTATTACAGGTATAAGCCAAAGCTACATCTCCCAGTGGTTGTTGCAGCAGGGTCTTGACATGAGTGAGCCTAAGAAGAGGGCATTTTATAGATGGTACCTTCTTGAAAAAAATAGTCCAGGTGAGCAGCATTATGATTTGGATTCAGTAGACTGCAAAAAGGAGTCAAAGAAATTGTTTGTCATTTATATAAATGATTTGGATGAGAATACAGAAGGCATGGTTAGTATGTTTGTGGATGATGCCAAAATTGGTGGCATAGTCAATGGTGAAGAAGGTTTTCTAAGATTACAAAGGGATCCTGATCAAATGAGTCAATGGGCTGAAAAATGGCAGATGGAGTTCAATCTAGATAAATGCGAGGTATTGCATTTTGATACAACAAACAAAGGAAGGGCTTGTAGAATTAATAGTAGGGCCTTGGGTGGTGTTGTAGAACAAAGGGACCGAGGGATGCAGGTTCCTAATTCTTTAAAGTTTTCATCACATATAGACAGAGTGGTTAAAAAGATGTTTAGCACGCTTGCCTTCATTGCTCAGTCCTTTGAGTATAGGAGTTGGGACGTTATGTTGAGGTTGTACAGGACATTGAGGCCTCTCCTGGAATCTGTGTCCAGTTCTGGTCACCCAGTTATAGGAAGGATATTATTAAGATGGAAAGAATTCAGAAGAGATTTACCAAGATGTTGCTGGGTAAGGAAGGTTTGAGTTATAAAGAAAGGCTGGATAGGCTGGGACTTTTTCGCTGGAGCATAGGAGGTTGAGAGGTGAACTGATAGAAGTTTATAACATAATGAGGGCTATAGATAGAGTTAATGGTAGTTGTTTTTTCCCTAAGATGGGAAATTTCAAGACTAGGGGACACATTTTTCAGGTGAAAGGGAGAGATTGCCTAGTGGTATTATCGCTGGACTGTTAATCCAGAGACCTGGATAACATTCTGGGGATTCGGGTTTGAATCCCGCCACGGCAGATGGTGGAATTTGAATTCAATAAATATCTGGAGTTAAGAATCTAATGATGACCGTGAGTCCATTGTTGACTGTGGTTCACTAATGTCCTTTAGGGAAGGAAACTGCCATTCTTACCTGGTCTGGCCTACTTGTGGCTCCAGACCCACAGCAATGTGGTTGACTCTTAACTGCCCTCTGGGCAATTAGGGATGGGCAAGAAATGCTACCTAGCCAGCAACGCCCTCATCCTGTGAATGAATACAGGGTTTAAAAAAGAATAAGTGGCAAATTTTTTACACCGAGGGTGGTTAGTGTGTGGAATGAACTTCCTGACGAAGTGGTGGATGTGGGTACGATGACAACATTTAAAAGACATTTGGATGGATATGAATAGGAAAGGTTTGGAGAGATATGGGCCAGGAGCAGGCAGGTGGGACTAGTTTAGTTTGGAATTATGTTCGGCATGGACTGGTTGGACCGAAGGCTCTGTTTCCTTGCTGTATGACTCCAGAAAAAAGTGGAGCATTTGTTATCAATGCAGGAGATCGGGCAGTGCCTCTAAAAATGGTTCACTGTGATCCAGCTGTGCCTGTGCAATGGCACACATTGTCATATCACCTCATTAGTGAAACGCAGCTCTTGATGTACATTCTATGTTGTTCTCTCATCGGCTATGGAAATGTCTTCAAATGCCTTGGAACACAAAACAGTAAATCTCCAATTGTTTTATCTTGGAACCAATTGGACTCAGAGCAGCCAAAGGTTGCCTATCTAGCCAAAAAGGTTAATTGGGAAAGTATAGACCATGTTGTACCACCCTGCAATATTGAATTGTATGTATGTATGTGTATGTGCTGGTAAGTCCCTGATTATTGATATCTTTCTTGGTAATTTATCTGCAACATTCTACAAGGAGTGAGTTTAAGTGAGACACCCCAATATTGTGCATGTGGTGCTCCATCTAGTAGTGACATTGGTCAGAAATGCCAATCTAATTAAAACATTCAGGTTTTCCCAATTTTCTTCTTGAGCTTCCAATAAAAATCAAGTACTGATAGCAAATAATTCTTAGCCTCTGGGAGCAAATGTGTTTGTCGTTGTTTGGAAACGTAATTAAAGCCAACATTCAACTGTCCTAAAAATAGAATGTTTCAACCAGGCTAACTATTGCATAGAATGTGTCTGTTAGGCTCCTCAGTAACTCCACAGTTATTTCTGAGGTCATGAATATTTATTATTTAAATATTTAAAAAAATCAAACAGAATGCAGTAGGAAAGTGATACATTGAGACCAATTGTGTTACATTTATCTGGAGTAAGGATTTCCAGAAGGCATTTGATAAGGTTCCACACAAGATTATTAGCAAAAACTAAAAGTTCTCCAAATTGAGGATAACCTCATGGCAAAGGTTAGTGATTGATTGGGAAATAATTGGTAGATGTGACAAGTGGTATTCCATAAATATCTGCACTTGGCTTCACTTTTCAACCATATATTATTGACTAATGAGGGGATGGATTTATGTATCGAGTTCTGCAGATTACATTGCATTAGAAAGCACAAAATGTTGTGTAGATGGAATGACCAAAGTGGACAAAATTATGGCAGATGAAAGTCCAATATTAGCTAGTTTGAGATCATCCATTCAAGATTCAAGAAAGACAAAATCCGAATTTTGTTTTAAGAGCAAGAGAGAAGGAGCTGTGGAGGAGCAAATAAATTTCACTGACAATGTACAGATCACTGAAAGCTACCAAACAGTACAACAAGCAACTTAATAGACCAACACCTTAGGAGTACCATTTTTGGATTAGATGTAACGCAGCACCAATCCACCAGAATGACACCAGAAGTTAAAAGATTCACTTGTAAAGGCAGGATTTGTAAACCTGGTTTGCACTTGTTAGTGTTTAGATAGTTAACGTGTGATCTTATTGTGGTCTTTAAAATGATGAATTCCATAGCGTAGATACAGATACAGCGTACTGTTTTATTTTTCTGGTAAGGGAATCCAGAACAAGGGCCAGAATCTGAAATTCAGAGTTGAACCATTTAGGAGTAAAGTTAGAAGTCACACAAAGGTTAGTGGAAATCCAGAACTGCTTTCTGGAAAAGGATGCTGGGTCATTTGAAAGTTTCAAGACTTATAAAGGATATGGAGCTAAGGCAAGGAAATTGAGATATGATACTTATCAGGCATGATCCAATAGAATTACAGCACAAGCCAGAGAAGTGAAATGGCCTGCTCCTGTTGCATTGTTCTGGTGTTACCTTGCTCTTTTCAATTTTTCCAATTAATATTATTTGAAACAAAGCAACATTTTACTGAGTTTTCTCAGCCTCCCTCCTTTCAAGCACCTACATTAGGCAAACCATACAACTGTACAACTCCTGCTGTACAGTGCTGGACTCCTAATGGAAGATGCATATTATGCTGGGAGTTCATCCTGAATACCTAAGGAGGACCGATTACCATGAGGCTTTTGAAGGGTCTAGGCCCGAAACGTCAGCCTTTCTGCTCCTATGATGCTGCTTGGCCTGCTGTGTTCATCCAGCCCTGCACCTTGTTGTCTCGGATTCTCCAGCATCTGCAGTTCCTACTAACCATGAGGCTTAGTCTGGTAGCTGAATCCTGCCTCCCTCTACCACCACTGATTAGGAAAATATTTGCATTAATTTAGGTTTATTGTCACACGAGCTCACAGGAGTATAGTGAAAAGTTTACAGAGTTGCCACATACAGTGCCATCTTAGGTACAAAGGTACGTAGGCACAGATTCTTAGGAATAATTTAGAAACATAAAGAAATAAAAAGTCCAGCATTACAGACCTTCACGCCATCTTAGGTATGAAAGGTATTCTAGGTACAAAATCTTAGGAATAAATTAGAAGAATAAGAAATACAAAGTTCAGAATACAGTCCTTCCAAGCAGAGAAGACAGAGCAGACATGTCCACACCCGAGTTTCACCTTGAGGCCGGGGATCCGCGCCGGGTTTCACCTTGAGGCCGGGGATCCGCGCCGGGTTTCACCTTGAGGCCGGGGATCCGCGCCAGGTTTCACCTGAGGCCAGGGATCCGCGCCGGGTTTCACCCTGGATGTCGCCGATGTTACCCGAGGACAGGAGGTAAAATGAAAGAAAAAAAACACTGAAAGAGGAAAAAAATAGGAAAAGAAAAGAAACGGATGGAGTGGATGAACTCCAGGTCAGGGAGTCCTGTTCTGCTGCCAAGATATATGATTGTAATTCTAATTTATTTTAAAAAATGTAAGTTGTGTGCTAAAGGATTAGTTGTATGACTTGTCTGTCCATGATGTCTGTGGCCAAAGAATTAGGGTTAGCTATACCTTTGTTTCTGTAAACACAGTTTCTCTATAAAGTTTTTGAGAAGACTTGTAGCTTGCATTGTGGATGGGGTTGTTGATTTGTTTGCTGAGCTGGTAGGTTGGTTTGTAGACTTTTCGTTGCCATCCTAGGTAACATCATCAGTGCGCCTCTGTGAGAGATAGAGAGACAGATGGAAAACAGACACATCCACATCAAGAGTGCAGCTTCACATAAAAACATAAATCAATTGCATTACTCAATTATGTAAATAAAACAACATCCTGCCCCACAATGTGTAATAAGCATATTATTAATATTTAAAAGAAGAAAAAGTAGGTGCTCTCCACTTGAATCAATAATTTTGTTTACATGTAATCACATTTTATTTTTCATTCATTCTACAGCTTTACAATTTTCCCCATTATCTAATCAAAAACATAAGGACAATATTTTAAATAATAAGAATTTGAGTTGAATGCAAAGCTCAATGAAAAATCAAATAATTTTTCAATGAAATCAATGTGAACATTATCCTCCATCTACACAGGGTTTTATTTTTATTTATTTAGGTGCTACTTTAAGTATGAGACCAGTTTCAACCACAACAACAGAGGATCCTGAGTGGCGGTCAAATGTCAGCCCGGTGACAGGAAACTTTCGTCTCAGAAGAGGAAGTAGATTTACCTGGCGAAAAGAGTGCCTGTCTGTCATGGAAAGGTTGGTAGAAGAAGGGATACTCTTATTTCAAACATCAGTCTTCTAGGGTGGCACAATGGCTCAGTGGTTAGCACTGCTGCCTCACAGCGCCAGGGACCCGAGTTCAATTCCACCCTCAGGCGACTGTCTGTGTGGCGTTTGCACATTCTCCCCATGCCTGCGTGGGTTTCCTCCTGCAGTCCAAAGATGTACAGGTTAGGTGGATTGGCCATGATAAATAGTGTTCAGGGATGTGTAGATTAGGTGGGTTATGAGGGATGGGTCTGGGTGGGATGCTCTGAGGGATGGTGTGGACTTGTTGGGCTGATGGCCTGTTTCCACACTGTAGGGATTCTATGATTCTATAATATGATCTATGGTCTCAAATTGGGCTGAGCTGGAGATGAAGGTAAATAAACATTTGACTCCCAAACAGCAAGCCCAGAATAAATATTGCAAATATAGTACTAGAGTGAGTAAAGACTTTACCTTAGACCTAGGATTTTGTTCCCAGGTCAGGTGAGCAAAGGTGGAAGTATTTTAAAAGCGGCCAGCTGAGCTGGGCTGGGCAGAAAACCTGTCTCAGAGCTCTGTGTCCAAAAGATAAAATAAAAGAATAAAGCATAAAAATTTCCTCCTGTCTTCACCC